TTCACTTCCAGGCACGTCCACAGCTGAGTGTCCTTTCGGCTTTGGCCCAACCACTTCATTGGCTCTGGAGCTACTTGTACTTCCACTCCACTCTTCCTCCGTAACATGTTGGACGCCTTCTGACCTGAGGGGCTCATCTTCCAGCGTCATATGTCTTAGCCTTTTGTTTCTGTCCATTGAGTTTTCTTGGCAAAGACAGTGGCTTGCCTTGCCAGTTCCTGCTCCAGGTGGATCGCATTTAGTCAGAACTCTCCACTATGACCTGTCTATCTTGGGTGTCCCTGCACGGCATAGCCATAGCTTCTCTGAATTAATCAAGCCCCTTTGCTACGACAAGGCAGCAATCCAAGAAGGAGTAAGCATCTCCGTTAATTTAATTTTAATAAGAAGAAAATAAGCATATATTTATCACACACACCCAGAAATCTGTGGGATGTGCCTATCACAATGCCATATTCTTTCTTTGTACAGCCCCTGTTGTAGCATATACTAGCTATTTTACAAACAAGAAATAATTTCATGATTTTTCCTTCAGTCCTGTTTGAATACTTAGTAGCAGTAGTAAAATTCAGCATGAATTTTTCTAATTTCCTTGATCTGCATACAGTGGGGTCTTGACTTAAGAACGGCTTGAGTTAAGAACATTTTGACTTAAGAACCACTCTCATAGGAAAATATTGACTTGACTTACATACTTAGATTTGAGTTAAGAACTGAAAAAAACCACGTGGGAGGCAGGGAAAGTGCAAAATTTGAACTTTCAGTTAACTGTTGGCCAGTGAAAAGGGTGCCTGTCTGCTTCCTCACTCCTCCCAGCATTTAGAGAGTGGATTGGGAGACAGTCTTCAGACTGCCTGGACTGTATTTTCCCTGCCTTCCCTGAACCTTTCTTGACCTAAGAAACAAAGAAACAAAATATCCCCCTTTAGTGGTCGAAGGCAGAATAGCAGCTTCCCATTAGTTTCTATGGACGGAAAAGAGCAGATACGGATCAAATGGTTTTCAATGCATTCCTATGGGAAATGCAGATTTGACCTGAGAACTTTTTGACTTGAGAACCGCCTTCCAATACAGATTAAGTTCTCAAGTCAAGATCCCACTGTAATCTGACACATTCAATTTACATTACATTATTTCATTACTCCATCACTAAGGAAAGCTATTCTAGGATTCTGTATCTTATACAACCTCTTCACAATTTTTTTATTGCTGCCTAATTTTGAGTGCCCATCTGGCTGCAATGCAATCCAGACACCATACAAATCTATCCCCTACTTAATGTATAAATATTGATTGAAGTGTTCTCATAAATCAATGTCTTCACTGCATTTTCTAAATCTTAATCATTAACTACCAAAACACAGAGCAGAAATTTTTCCTGCAAAGTAAAAAAGAAGCCCTTCCAATAGTCATTAAAAAGCTAAATTTAGATAAATTAACCATTTGGCAGACAAGAAATAAGACTGATGTTTGAAGTAGGTCAGTTAGAGAAAACCATATTTGAGAAAAGTGCTCAGAATTAGGTTTAACATTAACACGAAGGCAGAATCATTGACAGTCAGATTAGCACTGCTACATGAGATGAAGATCTTTTCTTGCAAGACAGAAATATAGGTATCGCTTTAGAGGAGTGATTCCCAAACTTGGGAAACTTAGATGTTCTTGGACTGTAATTCCCAGAAGCCTTAACCCAGCTGTGCTGGGCTTCTGGGAGTTGCAGTCCAAGAACACCTAAGTTTCCTAAGGCTGGGAACCACTGCTTTGCATTCTCTATGAAGAGGATTTTTTTGAACAAGCGACTCTGTTTTATATTTGTCGTAGGACATCAGTCCTGGCTTCTTGAAGCCCAAGGAAACTCTTGGCAACATGTGTCCCACAATTCTTTAAAGCTTAGAATAAAGAAAAACTGCATATTAGATGCAATAAAGATGTATCAACATACACAAAAATAGTGCACTGAGCTATGAGTGATATCTTAAAATTATGGATTCTTACAAAAGCAAGTTTAAATTCTGAATCCTCGCCTTTCAGATCATATGCAAAGCTTCTAAGTTTTTGAAAAATGTTGCTTGGCCACAGTGAAAGTCAAATTAATCATCCGCTTTCTTTGCAAATCAACCCACCGGAGAAGCACTCTAGACCAAAGTAAGATCTGATTTGTCTACCTTTTGTTCCCACCAGTCGAAGTCTGAGGCCTGTTTAGAAAGGCTAGTGCTGATCTCTGTTCTTCACTCAGCTGAATACTGCCTGATGAATCACACATGAGCACTTCCCTCATCAGCTGGATCTGCCGCTCCTACAAGTTAGAAAATATGAAAAGTAGTCTCATTTTACATAATAGAGAACTCATAATACATATAGCCTTCTGATGAACACTGCTGCACCATCAGCATATTGATGTCTATAAAGAGATGCACACCTGTCTCTCAAGTGATCACATTCAGTTCGTTCAAAGGAGCAGCAGAGATCACATTTTTACCCAGTCTAAAAGGATAAGGTAATCCAAATCAATTTTGTTGAGCTGTAAAGCAATTTGCTGGTATTTTACCAATTCTATTTGCAAGTCACAATAGTTTCCACCACATTAGATTGATGAGAAAAAGAAAACGGAGTTCCCATCTGCCAAGGGACACAATAAAGTACTCTCTTCACTGTCCAAACAGGATTGATTTAATGGATGGATATGGGGCACCACTTAATTTGCTTGTTAACTGCTAAATTTATTTTCTACTTCAAGAAAAAGAGACAGAAAACACCAGCAAAGAGAAACTCCCGAAACTTGACTTCACTCTCATTATTGCCCAGATTTCAACCAAACCCCTTTTTGAAAAGAAATAGACAAATTGGACAAATTGAGAGTGCATCTCAAAGGAGTGTACTGCACATATGAAAATCTCCATAATTAGAATCTGAGCCCTGACTAAGTTAGCAAGAGGTAACTGAGCTACAACAGGCTGTTAAGTCCTTCTTTGGATGTTGAAGAAAATATCAGTTCTATAGAGTATTCATGTTCTTGCCTTAAATTCACAATACCAGGATGTTAAAGGGCAACCCATCCAAAACCAAATCCAGAATACTAGAATGCCCCACATAGGCTTGTGCTAAGCAATCTTTACTGCTCAAGGATTCTTACATCTTCATCAGTACAGGCAAAGAAAATGGTTTCACAACTTTCAGCAAAACTGGATCCAGACCCACAAAGAATGAAGCTAATAAGTTTCTAGAGGAATGAGCTCTTCCCTAAGATCCAGCTTGCTTGTATTTGCTTGTTTCAAACCTGAAATCTAGCTGTGCTCTTCTTGTTTCCCCATTCTCTTTTAGCCTAAAATAAAAAGAGCACTCGCCATTCAGAAGCATTTAGAAACACTCAAGCTGGGAGGATGCTTCCTTCCTGCTTTGCATTTCTTGTCCAGAAAGTGAGTCCAATAGGCAGATCCAGCCACTATATACTGGAGGCAAGGGGCCTGATTCTTCGTTCTAACACAACTTTCTCTTTCCCACTTCTGATATGTCCTCCCAAAAAGCAGCAAGGTGAGAAGGACAGGGCTGGAACTATTGCTTGGTTCCCTCCTCCCAATCTTTGAAGATTGAAAGTACACGAATCTCATACACTCAGCACAGTTAACAGGCAAGTAGCTTCCCCCTCCTTCCTTTCTAAGGCTTAAATGGCAGCTGTACAGGTGCACACTTGGCTAAAAGGGTTGCTTCCCAGAAGCAGAATTTAGGCCACTGGTTCTTAACCTTGGGTTACTCAGGAGTTTTGGACTGCAACTCCCAGAAGCCTTCACCACCAGCTGTCCTGACTGGGGTTTCTGGGAGTTGCAGTTCAAAAGCATCCGAGTAACAAAGTTTAAGAACCACTGATTTAGGCAAAGGGACACAGGGTTGTGAAGAAGAAGAATGATGGATGGAGGAGCACAGAAGAAAGGGAAACAGAGGGGAGACAAAGGGCGAAGCAATTGGAGTGCAAGTGATCAAATTGGAGTGCAAGTGATGCAACTTTAAATAATTACTTGTATTTCTGCTCTAACATCTGTTTGTCTTTGCAGGACAGTCTCAAATTGCCCAGATCAAAGTCCATTGCCCAGGACCTATGGAATGGATGGGAGCCTCAGCAACATGTTGAGCAAATGTTTTTGCACCTGCAAGTGGATTCTCCATTTTGTCTTGAAATTAGACCCATGCCCTACTTGCATGCTGGCCACTGGATAACCACATGGGATCTGGGGGAGGGGAGTAGTAGTGAATGTGGTGTCATTTGCCAATAGATCGGTAGTGCAGAAGTAATAAACAAAAAAGTGCTTACAAATTGCGATCGCCTTATTAACCAAGAAAATGGTATATTCACAGCAGCAATATGCTATGGCTGAGTGCTAGGAAAACTGCAATATCCAGGAAGCAGAGGGTGACATCAGTAGAAGGAGGTTAAAGGAGCTCCTGTTTTCGGTCTGTTAGGACATGCTGAAGCAATTTTATACACACCAACTTTTCGCAGGCCGCTTCAGCACGCTGTCTTCGCTTGATCTCTACATCGACTTGGTTTCTAGCATGTTTCAGCTTCACATCCAGGGCACTGCACTCAGTTTCTCTTTTCATTAGAAGCTCTTTGCACCTGGCCACCTCATGATCCATGCTTTGCCACTTTTTCCTGAATTCTTCAAAGTTCTTTGCCAGCTGAATAAATTCTAAAAAGGATATATGTTGTAATCCATTTAAAACAAATTAATCCACTTAGAATAGATAGTTCAAAGAGGAGGAGGATTAATATTTTCTATGTAAAATATCTTCTTGTTAGAAATTATCATGATACAAAGGTGAAAAATGCATGCTTGTGGGCAAACCTGTTTATTGAGACAAGAGCAAACAATATGCACCTCAGAGACATTCCTTTGCTTATTTTTGTGTAGCCCTGGATGCCCAATGAGCTGAAGGGGAAAAAAAGTAACTGTCCATTCTGGAAACCTCCAGGAGGAATAATTCTCTTGTAAAGAAAATACGTTTGTCTTGCTTTAGTGAAAAAGAACATTAAGTTTTTTTTATTTAAAAAATCTGGAGATTAACTTCAGGTAACTTTGATGCCTAACTAATTTATAACACAACAACAGTCTGAACTCAATAATATGTCTAAAATCTCTGATCATGTGCCTTGCAATAAGCCCAATCAAACACAATATAACTTATTTCTGAGAAAATGTGCACAGGGTTGTGCTAAATGGAAGCTACAATCATGCATCAGAGTCATTTCTCCTAACTTCAAAACCAAAGATTTCTATTGGTCTATATAGTTTGATTAACAAGTGACACTGTGTATTAGAAAATAGGATGTCACCATGGCAACACAAAAAAAAACACCATGAACTTCCTGACAATTGTCATGCCGGAGAACAGAATTGCAGCTATAATTATCCTGAGCACAGATTATTATTATTATTATAGTCACAGAATAAGATACCAAAAGTAAGTTAAACAGCAGACTTTAAATATAACTGCTGTAATATGTTTCAGTAGATGTAGATTACTATCACAGATGTCTGGACCAGCAATTCTGCTCAGCTAGATAATTATACAAATATTGATTGGGAAGGAAAAAGCCAATTTCCTTAGCTACTTATCATCCTAAAGGGAATATAAATGGTCCATCCTGCCAAACAATGTCTACAGAAAACTGGACAAACTTGTCTCGAGCAAGCATCCCCCCCCCTGCACCTGCCTATTATGTACAGATGTCAGTTTCTGTGACACAACACAGACCTCCTTTGGGCTCATTGAGACTTGCAACAGTACATGGCAATACAGTCGTGCCCTGCTTAACGACTGCCCCACATTACAACAAATCCGCTTTACGACGATGTTTTAAATGAGGTTCTTTTGCTTTGCGAAGATAGGTTCCCTGCTTCGGGAACCGATTCTTCGCCTTACGACGATCAAAACAGCTGATTGTTGGGTTTTCAAAATGGCCACCGGGTGCTCAAAATGGCTCCCGCTGTGCTTAGGGACAGATTCCTCGCTATACAGGCAACGAAAATGTCCGCCGTATGGAGGATCTTCGCTGGACAGTGAGTTTTTAGCCCACTGGAACGCATTAACCAGGTTTTAATGCATTTCAATGGGTTTTTTATTTTCACTTTATGACGTTTTCGCTCTACAGCGATTTCGCTGGAACGAATTAACATCATTAAGCGAGGCACCACTGTATAACATCACATCCCTGAGGCATCAGATAGGATAAAGTAACTAACTAGTGGGACTGTACTGTAATGTAATTGCTCCACACTATTACCTAGAAACCCACTTTGCACAAAACCTGCTTGATGGATTGATTATAGATCAGTTTTCTATAAAAGGAAGGAATCTATTCCAATAATCAAGCTTCAAGAATTAGTTAGCACATGTTAGCTGGCTGATCTGATGAATTTGGAAAAACACACTGACTCGATGATTCAGGACGTTTTGAATCAAAGAATTAAAGGGATCTTCCAATGCAATACAGATCTCTGTCACCCTAACATTAGTCACCTGCTTATGTGCACAGAAGGAGGCAACTTACGGATTTCATTGTCTTCATTTAGAATTTCTGCTTGGCGCTTCAGTTGGTTTAAAATGTTCCTTAGATTCATCATTGCTGTCTCCATCGTTTTGCCAGGAAACTGAAATAATTCAGAAATTAGTTTATTTCCCCCTTAGCTTTCTTCTACCTGACAAGCCAAATTCCTCCCAGCAAGATTAAGACTGAAATTCAGAAATCATCACCACTATTGTGGACATTGTCACTGGCAGGCAAACTGAAATCTGAGCAACAGAGACAATGTAGCAATCTATATGTTCTCTACATACAAAGTGACGAAAGTCATGCAATCAAGGGAAAAAAACAACAACTTTCCCATCTATCTCCCACACATTGCTAAATTTTGTTTATTTACTCATCACTGCTCTACACAAATTTTAGGGGGGAAATGTTTCTGCCTATTAAAAGTTTACAATCCAAAACAAGCAACAAGGGTGTACCAAGCTACCAAAGTGCAAATGTAGATACAAATACTTAACCTTTGTTACAGTTTGAAATGAAATTTAAAGGGCTATGCTTAGAGCCTTAAGCAAATAAATATGCTTTTGAAAAGAGATCTGAAGGAAGGGATAATTTAGATTTGGAAGTGTTTCTTCTGTAGAAAAAATAGACATAATTCAGTTTTTTAAAAAAGATTAAAATTAACCTCTTTTTACATACAGTATTATCTGTTTAAAATAAGACCTGAATAAAAAGATGTTAAACATTTAACTTCATCTTTTATTATTGTGTAACCTGGTAAGAATCTTTAAAAATAAACTTCAGACTAATGTAAAGTCCCCAAATGGGGAAACAATATGACTTGGATGTACATTACAAATAGCAACAGGTTCATTGTGATACATTGGAAGGATGCTGCCGTCCATGAAAGCTTATACCAGATAAAACATCTTAATCTGTTAAGGTGCTAGAAGACCTGCGTTTCTATTGCAACAAATTTATTATTAAAAGTTTTGATGATTTGTTGCAGCTACAAATACAAATAGCATAGAAATTTATTTCCATGGCATGAAGAAAATGTTGCCCTTACTTCTGGAGGATTCTGGTACTAAGAACCCAAAGATATTAATAGGAAATCCTGTAGCTAACTAGTGAAGGCTATCTGGGAGGTTCAGTTGATATGAATAGCTCCTAATGAAAACTGTGAGTCAAGGAGCTCATTAAAACCTGAGAAACAGATCTGTGCAGGTGAAGTTTTGACTGCTGCAGAGAGAGGCCATATATGAGGAATCCACAGCAAATACAGCACAGCCTTCACCAAGCAAAAAAGGAAGCTGAACAGGCTACATACGTAGCCATATGTTTAGAGGATCTTGGCACCCTAAGACACAGCTTTTAAAACAGTATGCTATAAACTAGGGTCTCCAAACTATGGCCCGCGAAGCCACATCTGGCCTGCCTTGCCATTTTCTCCAGCCTGTTCCCCTCAGCCTGTGCGTGCACACGTGTGTGGGGGCGTGCAGGAGGGCATCCGTGTGTGTATGCGTGCAGAGGGTGGGCGGGGTTGCATGTGGGTGTGCAGCTGCATGTTCATACGCACACATTCCTGTTTCTTCCACCCTCAAAAATGTTGAAACTATCTGGTGTGGCCATCACAGTCAAAAGAAGAATAAACTAAAGCTGAGTACAGTATTCTATCCCTCCCCTGTTTTAAGGGAAGAGAAACAAGTTACTGTACAAGGGTAGCAAGAACTACTGGGAGGATGTATAAGAGTACAGTACTTAGTAAAGGAAAGTGATAGGAATGATCCTTTGGTTGTTGCTCAAACAGTAGAGGGAGCCATATAGGAACGGCTACATATGTGCAGTTTAGAAGAGGGGCAGAGTTCCAGCCAAAGCCATTCAGCAGTACAACATTCCAGTAATCAAGAGAAAGAGGCAATTTCCTGGATGTGGATCAAAGCAGAAGAAATCATTCTATGTATGATCCTCTCCATTCCTCCCTCCTCTCCTCAGCTTTGCCAACATGTACTCATTCTCTCAGAGGAAGAATTATTCTGGAGAGACACCTGCAGACTTTGTGTGTGCAACCACAAATCACATGCCCTCCCCTTTTTTTTCTTCACCTGGAAGAGGGGGAAAGCACAGAAAGAAGGGCAACACTTCTGGGCCTCCCTCAAAATGAGAGATGAACAGATCTGTGTTTTTTGGACAGCAACTAACAGAATTCTGCCTGGAGAATGCTTGAAAAATTCTTGGAGCTGCAGTCCAGTTCTGAAATGTGCTGCCTAGGCAAGCTTGAGAGTTGCAGCAACCAACCCCCCCCCCCCAGAAAAGAAAAACCCGAAAGAGAATACCCCAACGTGTCATCCCTAGCTAAAAGCCAGTAGTACGTGAAGAGAGAAAAGATCTTCAAGAAGGCCTCCAAAACTTGGCTTGCAAGCTCAACACAAACCCTTTGCTTAGAGAAAGGCAAAACTAAGGACTGAAGGATTCCTCCTCCCTAAAAAATGAAATGAGTTTATTTGCATGCCAGACCCTACAATGTAACCATTCCCTCCCTATTACCCCACTGCTGAGCAAAATCTAATTGTTCTAACTGTTCAGATACCCAGACAGCAAAGTATGTTTGTTCAAACATGATTTAAATCAATGATTTAAAAATTGGCACTCTCTGTGTTAATTATTTAAATCACTCTAACTTAAATAATCTCACAATGAACAGTTAGAATCTAAATAAGGATTTCTCTTTTCAGTGATTCGGATTAAAGACAAATGTAAGTCAAGCCTAAAATTAGCAACATATTTAACACAATATATAAAAAAGAAGTATATTTGGAGGATATGTCCACACTAGCTTGGGTTTAAAATTTTTTGTAAGCTAGTCTTTCTACTGAAAACGGCTTTTAAAAATCCATGACTTAGCGTATTTCCCAAACAGCAGAGCCAGTGACATCACAGCAGTGATTAAAGGAGAACTTGCTAGTTCAGCAGAGCAGAAATTGCTTCTTCAATCCATGTAGCTCCTGGAAACGTCTATGGGAACTATGGCTAATAAATTACTACCAAGCAGAGGATGGTGCTGACATTGTACCACATTTCTGGCACTTATTGCAGATGACACACTAACTTCTCAGCAAGAAGTCCATTGAAAAATAGATACTTTTTTCAATGGCCTTCTTCAATAGTCTTTTTTTTATATGCACAATACAAAAGCCCCCTCTGAGCAACTAAGCTTTAGTATCTATTCTGTCTGAAACATTTCAAATGTTCCCAACGGTTTCATAGAATGAGACTTCTATTGAAATTTCTGCAAGTTTTTGACCTCCATCTTCTCACCCCACACATCAGTAGCAATACTTCTGAAGAACAAAAATGCCCATGGAGTTTGCCACTTGTGCACGATTCATTGCATGGCAGATGAATGAGTTCTGAATTCTAGGGAGTGTGCTCTTCTGTGGTTTTGGATTTCAATTCCGAAATTCTCCACGTATTCTGGGAATTGCAGCCCATAAACCCAAATCTGCCCAGCTGTAGATTTCATCCCTCTAAAAAAAGTGCTTTTGAGTTATCTATCTGCACCAGTGGCTTCTCAGGCCTTTACTTCCTGCGGTGTTGAGTTCCTGGGAGTCATAGTCTCACTGCCCATTAGGCTCTATAGAGGGTGCATCCCCAAAGAGCAGCAACTCCCAGGAAGCACCATGGCAGCTCCCATTTTTCTACAAATTAACAACAGGAAGCAAAGGCCTGAGAAGATGAAGATAAATAACTCAAATTACTTTCTACTGGAGAACAAAACTTAAGAGTGTATTTGAGGGTTGTGGGCTGCTATTCCAAGAACACTTGGGAGGATTTGAGGGGCTATAGCCCAAAAGGACAAAAAGCACACTGCTAGTGAATTCTCATTTGACATTACTATAAACACTTTTTTATAGAGCAATGGTTAGGGCTAGACCAGAATAGGACAGATCCAGGTACCACGCAAGCTCATTGGATTCTCTTGAGCTAAACCGCTCTCACTCAGTATAACCTGCCTTGCAGGGCTGTTGTGAGGCTAAATGAGGCACAGAGACCAACATACTCTGTCATAGGCTCCTTGTAAGAAGGATAATACATAATGACGGAATTAATAAATGAATCGAAATACCAGTTGTGCTTTTTGGAACATTATATGAGATACTAAAAGTGTACAGTACTCATTTGCAAGCAGAGTTTTTTCCAATTTGTTCATGTTCAGTTACAGAGAAAAGATTTTTAGAACAGCCATAAACAACAGTGTATAGTACGAACTTGTTTATCCTAACAATTTATCATTACAAAAATGAGACCAAACACAAACCAATTAATCAAACACAAAAATATAGTACATTCACTAAGCAACTATGGTAGGACACAGTGGATGTCAAAACCTATACAATCACTATTACTACTGTTATCTCAACTCAGGAGCAGTGCAAGGACTTTAGAGGGGAAACACAGCACCAACCATTGACGGCTGACAGAGCAGGCTGCCTAAGATACACCACAGTCATCATCTTTGTACTTGTACTGTATAAGATTTTAGTGAAGGAAAGGACAAAGCAGAAATTACTGAAAGGTGGTATAAATTTGAATAGCTCTGCCTCACCTGCCTTCTGTAGGGCAAAATGTTAACCAGATTTGCACAAACAGCACCACAGCATCAGGCTGAAAAACATAAAATACAATTGTATGGATATTTCAAATCAACATAATACTCTAGCTTTTCTTCTGCATAGAGCTTTCTCCTAACAAAAGCACAAGTCATGCATATTTATCATGATCTTCAGACATGAAATACCACCAGCAAAAGCAAATGATGAATGAGCTGATGGTGTGGTGACACACATCAGCTAGAAGTCTGTATTTTGCTTACATATTTTTCCTATTTCCTATTTAAAATACTGTATATAATTATGGGAAGCATTGGAGTGCAGAAAGGTAACAATCCTGTTTTCATCTCTGCAGGAAAAGCAGCTTTTGGAAATAGTTTCCTCTTTACCTACTCAAACAAAACAGACCAACTGTACTTTTTAAGTAATATGCAAGCTTTGCCAGATATCCAGCACCATAAGACGCACTTTTTTCCCACAAAACAGGGGGGTGGAAAGTCTGTGCGTCTTATGGAGCGAAGAAAACAGATTATATTTTCCTGTTTTCTTCTCCTAAAAAATTGGTGCGTCTTATGGAAAGGTGCGTCTTATGGAGCGAAAAATACGGTAATATGCAAGCTTTGCCAGATATCTTTTCACCTCTTACATACCAAATACAGAGCAGAAAAAAACTGAACCTATGGTTTTTACTTCTACATTATACTTCAGAAACATTATCTCACCATTAAACGATGGCCAAAATCCTCTTGCACAGCTACACGAATGGTGTAATTTTGGGAAGCCAGTTGCCCAAAGTTTAAAAAAAAATACTACAGACTTTATTAGTTGTAGGCAGAACTCAGTATTCAACAGATAACGTCTACAGTGATTTCTTAACTCCGAGCAATTTGCATCCCACAGTTACGCCATATGTGCTACAGTAGTGTAACTAGGTAAGAGGATTTGGATCAATAACTTAATGGCAACCCATTACTCTGTGCAGTGAGCAGAGAAAGGAAAACATGAAACCCCAATCCAACAGTCCTGTGAACAGCAATAAAACATTGGTAACACAACTCAAGAAACAAAAAAGAAATCATCTGATGACATCCAGATATAGATCCAAATTTTTCCCTTGGAGTAGTATGCTTTGAAGGCTTCTTTATAGAGTTCCACCTTTACAAGTTTTCTAGAAATACAAAAGGAGGGGACCTGATGCACCTTCGGTGGAAGAACATTCCACAATGATGGATGGGGCCACCACAAAGAAAGCCGGATTTCTACTTGACATTCTTTTGACCTCTTGGTGTGGTCACTCTAAGAAGTCAGCCCCAGGTGGAACAGGTGAACTGGGAAGCTGTTCCTTGTAAGAGATACTCTGACAGGTAGCAACTAAGATTGTCCATGTGTTCAAAGCCTTTTTTAAGATACTCAAAAATCTTAACTGTATGTTTCCCTGGACAAGGCTTGCTCTTGCTTTTTCAATACCAAAACATTCCTTTACTTTCTCTACCATTATTAACTTGGACAAAATCACCCACACTATGTGGTCTCCAAATCACACCTCTTCAAATATCATAGCAAATCTACCTCTAGCAATGGAAAGTTGGTAGAAATCAATAACTCAAAAAAAAAAAAAAACAAGACTAACAAGAGTTTTGACTCTTTTCCTCACGCTATAAATGAGATCAACTATGTCTGTATAATTCTTCCTAGCCTTTCAACACAGGGAGAATAAACAGTTCCTAGTATAACAAGGATATGATTCAGTCTAGTGAAAAAATACCTTTCTGCTAGGCTGTTATGTAGCTAACAGCTAAAGACTTAAAAATGGGTATTAATGATTAAAGACATTTGTGTCAAATGAGCATTAATGGTGTTTAATGGTGACTAGAGCTGGCTGGATAACTCAATGGTTGAGTTATGGTTGGGAGTTCAATCCCCCAATGTGCCTCCTGCAAGAATAGTCAGCCTGTGTGGCCTTGGGCAAGCTGCACAGTTCAAGGGCATCCCCAGAAGAAGAGAATGGTAAGTCACTTCTGAATATTCTCTGCCTGGAAAAACCTGAAAAAGGGTAGCCATAAGTCAGAAGTGACTTGATGGGGCATAATTACTATGATTATTAATGGTAACTAGGTACTGAGTGCACACGCATTATCAAGCTAGATGAGAACTAGAGATAATCAGCAGCAGCAGCTGGGAACTGGAAACAATTCTGAATTTTTGCAATAGAGTGTTAAGGAGTCAGAGCAGTTCCTTTAGGGTAAATATGAACTTCTCAAACAACTACTAAAGGGTGTGTGGGTCTTCTCCATGCTCAACATGCATACACATATATAAGTACATGGGTGGTAAAAAATACTCCACTTACATTTTTGAATTTCCTGCTTATAAGAAAATCATTCTGCAGAAGGCTGTGCTGAGTGCACAGTATTATCAGTGGAAGTGAAAAGGACAAAAACATCCAGTCTCCTTGAACCATTAGCAAATCACAGTTCCATTAACAGGTTAAAACTTTGCAACATGGTGTTAACAGCACAATTCTGTACATGCATACTTATAAGTAAGGCTATTTGACTTCTGTAGGTCTTATTCCCAAGGCTACACCATAAGTAAATACTGTAGGTCAAAGCCATACAAGTAGTATTTACTACTCAGTCCATGCAATAAACAAACTATTGGCCAAAATTTACCACCTACTTCTATTTTTCAAATTAAAAAAAATAAAAGACAGTATAATGAGTGCAAAATACTATTTATGTACAGCAAATAATCATCTTAACAAGAAAATGGGAATGCAAATTCATTTTTGAAAGCCAGTATGTGTACTCTTCTGAAGTTATTTAATGGAACATCTTTCTTCTAAAAGCATGACATTTACATGACTTTCATTGATTTACAGAATGAAACATTAAAGAGAATGAAAGGTCACAGACAAGGCACAAAAATGATCTGCCAGATCAAAATATCCCACTTACTAAGGTCAAAGCTAACTTCTCAGTTTCATTTGTAGGCAATGGCCATATTTAAATAAAATACAAAAACCATCTTGATGGCTAACTAACTCCGATTCCACCTTTTCCAGGAATACCCAGATTATACTCCACAGTTTTCTGAAATGCCTAGAGTTTAAACTAGACTCTGGTCATCTAAATATGAACAAGATTCCATGTGATTGTAATTAGCAATTAATTTAGTTTAAGTATTTAATGTATTGCATGTACACACAATGTTAAAATGCTATAGGCTCATGTACTGGGTGGATGCTGCACTAGTGTGTCAGTGCTGAATGCACAATAAAGGACACCATTTCATAATGAAGAGACAGACATGTTTGCATGTTTGTAGTCAGACCATGTAAGCAGAAAAGCCTGGTAGAGCAGACTTGCCCTTCTCATACTACAATTCCTATAGCCTCCAGAAAGAATGGTCATTGGGTGTACTAGCTCAGTGGGCAGACTTGCCCTTCTCATACTACAATTCCCATAGCCTCCAGAAAGAATGGTCACTGGGTGTACTAGCTGATCATTATTACAGCTGCAGTCCAATCCATCTAGGAGCCACTATGCTGGGGAAGCCTGTTAGCTGTTCCTTATATCCACTGTTCCAACAAATGTTTTATTATAGAAACTCCCTGAGTAACCCAAGGTTAAGAACTACTGTACTAGCTGACCATTACCTGTATTACAGCTGCAGTCCAATCCATCTAGAAGCCACTATTCTGGGGAAGCCTGTTAACTGTTCCTTATATCCGCTGTTCCAACAAATATTTTATTTTAGAAACTCTAGCATAGTCCTCCTCAGAGCATCTCTTCAGTTGTTATCCATTCAAAAACAAATGCATGATGCTATTTCTAAGCCAAAAGTATTGGGATTAAAGTTTATGTACCAACATCATATATTTAATCAGTGGCCACCTTGGAAAAAAAAACCTGAAAAAATATTCATAACATATGCAAGAAACTTCCTGAAAAACAAAGGCCAATGTGGAGTACTGGATCAAGTGTGGACCTAGGACTCAGGAGGCCAGGATTGAAATCCCTAATGAGCCATGGAAACTCCCAGTGGGGCTTCGAATGGTAAACCGCTGCTTGAACACGCCACATAACTAGAAAATCTTACCTAGTCATAATTAACTAAGAAATGATACATAGCAACATTTTCCTGAGATACTTACAGGACTAGTCTACATGTTACAAGGCAAGGCTATTATGAGAAATAAAATAGACCTATGTCCCAGACATGGTTCTTAAACTGTGGTTTGCTTAGAATGTCATGAAAACTGGGAATTCTGGCTTTGCTATTACCCCAAAAGTCAAAGTCATTGGTCAACTAAGAATGAAAAGGCCTACAGAATTTTGTCTCAAGGGCATAACAGAGTTTTGCACTGGGTGGATCTTCCAAATGACATTTTTAAAATACCTTTCTGTGTCAGAAGAATACAGCAGCCAAGACAGTGAAACTGCAGCACACACTCCTGGGAGTGCTTCCACAAGCAAACAAAGAGAAAGAATACAGCAGCCAAGACAGTGAAACTGTAGCACACTCTCCCTGGAGTGCTTCCACAAGCGAACAAGGAGATACTGTACATGACATCAAATGGCTCCTCAGTGACCCTTTCAATGAGTTTTAAATTGCTCCCTCAATGTGCCCTTTTTAATTTTTTCCCCATAAACAATTTTAGGACATCAGAAAATATTCTAGAAACCTCATATATTTCCTAACTATAGAACTGCAGCTTACATAAATTACAGAGTTAGTTCCCAATGTTCTACCAAAATTTCACAATCGTAAAGGAGGCACTTATTGCAGCTGAAGATGATTGCCAGTTCCTAGATACCTGCAACCCTGAAGGCTCAGACACCAGCAAGATAAGGACTTAAAGAATGAATCTCCTAAAGACATAGAAAAGGAGCTATTGTTAGTTCATAAAAGGAATAGTTGCAAGATGACTCATGTCTTTAGGGCAAGGACTTTAACACAAGAGGACATGAAAGACATTGCAGATGGAAAAAGAGACCTCCCAGCCCACATGGGACAAACTGATTACCTTATATTTTTCACTTCATTCCTTGCTGAGCACTCTTGATCCTTTCCTGTCCCAGTTCCTGCCACTGTCATTCTTCCTCACCTGGTAATCAGTATACAGTATGTACATCTCTGTGCTGGCTCTTTCCGAACCGCCTTCCAATATGCCACCATTTTCTCAATTTCCCCTCAATGATACCGCTTTCTTACTTCACCCATTATAGGTTTCCGAATATTCTTCCTGTCCTTCTTGTCTTAATTGCTCATTCAATATCTCCAGGTATGGTGTGCTTCTCCTTTGGAATCTATTCTCTCCCTCAGCCATGGCCAAATCCTTACACTAACAACAACCTGACCTACTCAAAAACCCTTGGCCCTCTGTTCAGTCCCACATCTTCAGCTATCTTAAATTTCTACTTGGATGTTTTACTTCCACCGTATAATAATCAAATTTATATTTCTTCCCAAACTCTCCTCTCTCAGAGAGCCTCTGTACCAATTCGAAGCAGTATCACCATTGCTTCTGAAACAGACACAAATAAAAGCTTGCTTTTTCCTTCTTCCTTTGCCTCACATTAGCCAATCATTATCAGGTCACTTGTTCACTTACAACACAGCAGAACTACGGGCCTTCATCTCTACCCCCTTAGTGAAAACTCTATTGCAGTACAGTACTTCATTATCAGGTCACTTGTTCACTTACAACAGAGCAGAACTACGGGCCTTCATCTCTAGCCCCTTAGTGAAAACTCTGTTACAGTACTTCTATGACTCATAATCCCTCTCCTTTCTCCTTTGTGTTTCAACACCTCTCCTCTGATGAAAACTACAGCAATGTCATTCCTCTCTCTTCTCACATCACGTGGCATTCTTCCTTCAACGCAGACACTTGCTTCCTGTTAACTCTTGCATCCTCCCAGGGAAATAATCCCCTCTCCCTTATCATTCCACCCCCCAAAACCTTTGATCTCCAGTTTTCACGAAGGCAGTTGACTGAAATAAACCACTTCAAATAAGCCAGTCCTTTCCTATTCACTCCCGTTATACTGTATCTGGAAGTCTATCCCAGAATACTTATAAAACACCATTACTGTACTCAATTTGGCGTCGGAATCCAGCCTTTATGCAAAGATTTTGGGATGAACTTGATCTAATTTCCTACTAAAAATAACCCTAAACTCAAAACCATATTCCTCAGTAACCCACAGCCCATTCTGTTTCTCCTGCAGCATCTGACTCTAAGTTCTATAAGGCAAGAAAGCATCTGATACACCGTTGGTAGTATATAAAGGCAAATTGCTATTACTTGGTATTACTGTATTTTACTAGTAAACCACACAAACAGGAAAAGACTATATCGCTAAGGGTGAAATCCTAGCCCCCTCTCTCAAGGCGCATACCGTCTGTAGCGAAATCCTTGTCCCACCAGCATTCGTGTAAAAACTACCCTCCGAAAGCGTGGGCAATCGTTGCTTTTGCTCAGCTCTGCCGAAAGAAGGTTTTATGAGATCTTTTATAACAAGGCTGGGTAACGGAGGCCCTCCAGATGTTGTCGGACTACAACTCCCATCAGCCTTAGCCAGCATAGGAAGGCGAGAGTTTCAATACAGTCTTATGGCGGGTTACACGCCACCCATCTCTTAGGCTTCTTCCTAACAAACACACGCTTATTTATTTGAAGATAGGAAAATATGATGTATGCATGTAATAAAGTTAAATTTTTCATTCCATAAAGGGTCGTTATTCCGGGGGGGGGAGTCTTCTCCAGTTTCACATAATAGTCATAATAGTGCACGGCAGGGACAATTTAATACTTATTACTCCAATATTCCCCCCCCCCGCCCAGAAGCTCCTCAATCCCCAAATACTCTATAGAGGTATAGGAGCCCCCCCCTTTTAAATTTCCCCGCTCCCGAATCTTACCTACCAGGGGTCCGCGCAGCTCCTCAATCCCCAAATACTCTATAGAGGTCTAGGAGCCCCCTCCTTAAATTTCCCCGCCCCCGAATCTTACCTACCAGGGGTCCGCGTGAGAGGAAAGGCTCTTACATGCTTTCCTTACCGGCGCGGGCAAGAGCATCCGCAACGGCCACCGCTGCAACGGGAACGTCTTCGGGGCCCGCCTTCAAGTTTGAATCCTCACAACCGGCGTTCTCTCCGGACTCTGATTGGCTGCGGCGTCCTGACACTGTGAAGGCGCGAGGAGACTTCCCCCACCACCTCAAACGTACAAAAGAACTTCCCTTCTGTTCACTTTGGAGTCTGATGTTCCGGGCGCCTTCTTTCTTAAGGGCATGGTTGCCCATACTTCAGGGGATCAACTCCCCGCAGGCACACACATGCACCCCGGCTGCTTTCGCAGCTGGTATGTCGGCGGTGGGGGTTGGAGAGTCGTTTTGCTTTAGGGCGGATGGATTCCCTCTAGTCTTTTCCAGTTCGTAGAGGGAGGGCGAATGGAGAGAAGGAATGGCAAAGAAGAAGGAAACTGCAGAAAACTGTAATTGCTTTAGTGGAATTGTTTTTTAAAAAATCTCATGTTAGTGGAATAATATAAAGAGACAAATCAGTGTCGCTGCCGTGGGGATAAGGACAAGGATGCCTTGCGAGGAATGGGCGGATTAACAAAAAGCTCTCTAGTAACACCTGAAGACAAGGGTGGACAAGTTTTATTAGACCATCAAAATAAAAAAACAGAAACTGGCATTCGGCACCGGCAGAAGTGCCATCTGGTTGGGCACCACAGAGTTGGTGGCGGTGAAGAAAAAATAAAAATATCAAAAATCGCGGCTTAGATATACGGGTCCGGTTTCGCCTTTTAAAGTCAATTCCAAAATCGGAGCTGCAGAGTTAGTTGCGAGGCGGCAGCTTCCAAATTTCACTGTGAAATCTATAGGTTAGCATATACGCGCCCCCCCCGTAAATCTACCCAGGAGATTTAGAAGTTTTATGTTTCTTCTGCACCTGCCCCAGCTCCGTAATGCCCCACCTGGGATAATTTAGTGACATAGTAAAGGTACCACCCATCCTTGTCTTCTGATTATGCGCAAGGACCATATGGCTTCCCCCCCCCCCTTGGGCTATGGAAAATACAATCCTAGTTAGCTGTTAGGATACCCACAACCAAGCAAGGGCATTTGACATCATTGTAACAGGGCTGCAAAGTAACAATAACATCTTCCTCCAACCACTGAGTAATTCTTTTAATTTGGCTGAAATTAGTTAACCTAGCCTGTTTCTAAATTTAATCCCAACCTCTCTGAAATGAGGTTCACCACATTTCTGTATATCTCTATTCCCAAACAGAAAATAACAGTGTGTTTGATTCTAGAGTCCAATTGGTGGGGTGGGGAGGAGGGCGCAGAGCCTGGCAGTTCTTTACCCAACAAGTTTAGAATGTTTGTCCCAGTCTACATCCTCAGAGATAAAATATTAAATCTCCTCAGAACTGAGGGTGCAGTCAGATATCAAGAAGGAGTGGTGTCAGGTCCCACTGGAGAGGGTCACTTTGCTGGGAGCGATCACCAGGGTTAAAGCAACCTTTTGGTCCACGAAGGAAACACCCTAGCCTGGTTCCAAAAAAGAATAGCCCTGCTGTTGAATCAAAAGGCCCAGCTTGAACTCAGATCAGGGTTGGGCTGCTTTCCAATCTCACTTACATCATGCAATCACCTGGAAATAGCTTGCTCTGGTCCATGCCACAAGCAGTCCAAAATGCAAGATATTTCCCTGTCGTATTGACATCAGCAAGACTGAGGAATTTGTCCAAGTGCTTGAGGGAACTTTTCCAGGCCTGGCTGGTGCAAATGCACCTGAACAATGGGAACATTTCAAGAATGCTGTTTATAACACCGCCTTGTCCACATTTGACAAGAAGACCAAACAGATGGCAGTCTGGTTTGAAGCCCATTCAGAGGAGTTGATGCCAGCCATCAAGGAAAAGAGGAGAGATCTAGCAGCATCCAAAGTCTGCCCTAGTGAGCACAACTTGCAGGCTGTTCGGGTTGCTCGTAGCAAAGTCCAACAGACTGCCATGAGATGTTCTAATTTATTTATTTATTTATTAAATTTATACCCCACCCCTCTAGACTATATCTACTCGGGGCGGCTAATGATTATTGGCTTCAGCTCTGCTCTCAGATACAGATAGCAGTGGACACAGATAACATTGAGGGAATATATGATGGTATCAAGCAGGCTTTAGGTCCAATACAGAAGAAATCTGCTCCTTTCAAGACAGCTACAGGCATGATCATCCAGGACCAAGCACAGCAAATGGAACGCTGGGTGCAGCACTAGTTGAGCTATATTCCAGAGAGAATGTAGTAACCGAAGAGGCACTAAATAACATTGACGGCCTGCCTGTCTTAGAAGAGTTGGACAGTAAACCAACTTTAGCAGAAATAAAAGCAGCCTTGGATTCCCTCGCCTCCAGCAAGGCACCTAGGAAGGATAACATCCCTGCTGAAGTGCTGTAAAGAGATCATCACCACCGAGCTGTATGAAGTCTTTTGTTTGCTGGAGGGAAGGTGGAGTACCACAGGACATAAAGGATGCTAACATTGTCACATTGTATAAGAACAAAGGCGACAGGGGCGACTGCTATAACTATTATGGCATCTCTCTTCTCTGTATTGTAGCGAAACTGCTTGCCCGTTGTTGTGCTGAAGAGACTCCATGTGCTTGCAGACAGAGTCTATCTAGAATCACAGTGTGGATTTTGAGCTAATAGATCCACCATTGACATGATATTCTCCCTCAGATAGGTGCAGGAGAAATGCAAGGAACAACAACAGCCACTCTTTCTGGCCTTCATACTGTAGATCTCACAAAGGCCTTTGATTTGGACAGCCTTTTTAAAATTCTTCCCAAGATTGAATTTCCACCTCGACTCCTTAACATCATCAGGTCTTTTCATGAGGAAATGAAGGGCACTGTAGTTTTTGATGGCTCAACATCAGATCCATTTGACATCTGAAGTGGAGTGAAACAGGGCTGTGTTCTTGCGCTGACCCTGTTTGGGATCTTTTTTGCTGTCATGCTGAACCATACCTTTTGGAACTGCAACAAAAGGTGTCTATCTCTGGACTAGATCAGACGGAAAGCTCTTTAATCTCTCTTTATTGAGAGCGAGGACCAAAGTCCAGCTGTAATGCATGTTGGACTTCCTCTTCGCCGATGATGCAGCTGTTGTTGCCCATTCTGCCGAAGAGCTCCAACAACCTATGAACCGTTGTAGTAAGGCCTGCTAAGATTTTTGATTAGCAATCAGCCTGAGGAAAACACAAGTCATGGGCCAGGGTGTGTACTCACCTCCCTCTATTACCATCTCTACACAAGAATTGGAGGTTGTTCATGACTTTGTGTACCTTGGCTCAATGATCTCTGACACACTTTCTCTAGATGTAAAGCTGGATAAACACATTGGCAAAGCAGCTACCACGTTCTTTAGACTTACAAAGAGAGTATGGCTTAATAAAAAGCTGGCATCATATACCAAGATCCAGGTCTATAGATGAAGATTCCTGCAGGAGTCAAAAGCTAGCTTCTGATTTTGATATTTCAATAATAATCAATAATGTGATTTTAAACCAATTTCAAAATTCTGATTCAGCTCCTAATTCATTTCAAAAAGCCCTCCAAAAGCAGCACCTTCTCCCTGGTACAATAAGTGGGTTTGGTTCAGAAAGATCTGGTTAGAGTATTCTGTAAGGAGTAAGTTTGTTTCTGTAGTTTTCCCCATGTGTTACATTCTTCTTTTGTGTTATAAATAAAAGAGGATTTTATGAACATCCTGCTTACTGGTTATATCTGGCTTTGGGACGAACCAGTTACAAAGCAACTACACATGTGTCCTAATCCATATCCACAGAAAATGGAAGGAAAATGCCACTGTATATTTTTGACTTGTGGGTCAGCTGTTGGCAGCAGTTTCTAAGACAGGTTCCGAAATCCATGATTAGACAATACCTACTTGGATCAGTCAGAATATCACAAAACAGTGAGCATGTTTACAACTTCTGTATAAAGTTTTGTCAGGTTTTATGTCAAGAAGCATAGAATGGTTAGGAAAAATGCACCAAGTTGTTGAAACCACAACGTCCACATGTAGTCAAATTAAAGCCATACTGTGCTTTTGCTGTGGTCAAAAATGATATTGTTATCTTTTGGGAAGCTGGTGTTATTCTCCCCCCCCCCCCCCCCGTGTAGGATTTGGTGATCACTGTCTTCTTTCTCCTATCTTGCGTCTCTCTCCATTGCACCTAGGATGACATCTTCCAGATGTTATGGGATCAGGAGCCTAGGATTTCTCTGTTTTCCTTTTTTCATCTACAGTATAGCCTACTAATAAAGGATTATAATATCAAATAATAATCACTTGCACTTGTTTATACCAATGGCATGCCTTCTCCTCCCTTGCCTCATAGAACTTCTAATAAAAAACGTTAGAAATTGCTTTAGTGAAACTCAAAGAATAGGGATTATGGATTCTTCAGCAGTAGGGAAATACAGCTGGGACCTGTCAAAATACTGCAGTGGAGAAATGCTTCTATTTAATGTTTCAATCTGCCACTGAAATCCTAGTTTACTCTGCCAAGACACTCCACTCCACTCTCCTCTCATCATCTCTTTCCATTTGCCCAGCCGTCACTCAGCATTCTATACTCAATGAACATGCACAGTCCCCACCAGTGCTGTTTTACCTCTCACCCTTCACAAGTTTTTATGTTTAAATATTTTCTTCTGTTTTTGCAAATCTCAGGTCTTCCTGCTACCTTCCTCCTGCGTTCCAGCAGTACTGTGTCAGCTCAATAGGATTAGAACCCAGATCTCCCAAGCCCCAGTCCAGCATGCTAACATCTATTCTACATTGTTTTTTAGTCCTACTTTTCTGGCTTGGATATGCCTGTGCATGATATGGGTACTTCCCCCCTGCCTATGTTGGACCATGTGTTTCCTTCTGGCCTAACATGGATTCACAGTTGTCAAATCTCAGATTCTGTCTAGAGATGGGAACTTCGTATTTGTCTCCCTCAGGAGATAAATACAAAGCTCCCATCTCTACTTCTGACCTTTTCAGGGGCCTGCCATTTTGTGTGATAAGTAAGAAAAACAACTTCATGGTGAAAAATGTTTTTGGTCGTTGATCTAGCCCCAGACACTTCTCCATAG